ACACACAGACAGCCTCTTCCCAATATGCGTTTTTGCTATTTACATATATGCAAAAACGCATAAAAAAAGACCGTTAAATAGAAATTGTGCAGTTACTTTATGCAAAGTTTATGGTGATTTATGCTAGTGACCGCAAAAGGAAGGTGTGACGCAACAACCATTCATGCAATTAATGCCCTGAGTGCTTCAAGTCTATTACAAAAACATATGATCACACGGACCAGCCCGCTGCGTTCCTGCCTGGATTAATATCATCACCCGCATACGCTTGGGAGTCGCGTACGGACGCCTTAGAAAAATATGCAAATTTTTTGGCAGGAATACTGTCTAGAGAACTAAGCAAGATAGAGAGCTAAAACTTTGCAGTGATGCTCTCTGTACACGTGGGAGCCAAAGATTTTAAATTCAGCGTCGAGGAGCCCGTGGTTCACGAGCACATGAAATTTTTGGCAGGTAAACTGCTAACTCGGGAACCAGAAAAGCTGGAAAGCTGAAATTTTAGGAGAATATTCCCTGTCCAAATAAAACTTAAAGGTTTCATACTCAGTCTCCATTTGTGATTTTCACGTATCATTTCCTTTATATAGAATTTACAATGTTTTATGCCAGAGGGCATAAAAGGTAGGGGTAAGGTAACAAACATTCGTGCATTTAACCTAATTCAAGTTTGGTGCAAAAACACGTGATTGCACCGGCAAGCCTGATGCTTTCCAGCTTGGGTTGTTGTTTGCAGCACAGCAAAAACGCATAAAAAAGCATAATTAATTAGCATATTTTTTAATGTGATAATGATTTGCCCGAAATCAGTGCAAACATAAATCACTAAATGCACAAATTTTTCGAAAATTCAACTATTGCAAGCCTGAATGGCTGAGCAGACAGGCAGTGCGGTACTTCGGTCTCCATCCACGGATTTGGCACTGCAGAGTGCTGCTCAGTTTATTGACGGCAGCATCGAAGGAGTAATTGCGCGCACATCTCATTCCGTTGTCTACCGTGCACAATCTCGTCTGTTCGTTTGCTTGATTCTTAATTGCTGCGAGTGTTTCATTCTTGGTTACTGCGAATGCTAGATGGATGAACACTGTCAGTGTCTTTCTAGCAGGTGGTCCGGATTTGTTTTCAATTTTCCTTTGCTGTATTTGTGTGGATTAGTAGTGCTTGGAAGTTGAAGTGCTTTTAATTTCCTGTAGAAAATAGAAGGACGTAACTAATTACGAGTTTTGCTAACTAAAACTCTGAAAGATTATCATGAATATCAGAATCGTGTCAATACAGAGACCTAATCTTAGTGATATAATCGAATGCTTTCACATGCCGGAGTACTTTATCGGGAGCTTCAGTCCTGCCTGCGTTCCACTTGTAGCCAGGGCCTGCTCATTTTATTTGCAGCGCTTTTTTTGAGGCCACCGCTGTTACATAACTAATGAATCACAAAAAGCTAAATGGAAGAAAAATAATTGGCCAACGCACGGGCTGCCTGTGCGAAGATGTA